TGGTTCCTGCATTGTCCGCACAAGAAGAACCGTCATGCTGGACCTGGAAACTGAAGTGAACCTTTAGCGGTGACAGATTGGATTTCCCACGTATCATGCGTTTTCTGCATTCATGTATTTTGGTATATTCACCATGTTGGCCTGGAAACTGAAGTGGACACTTAGCGGTGACACATTGGATTTCCTACTTAACATGCGGCGTATCATGGCAACCTAGTGGCGATGTGCACAATGCGCCGACGCGCGCGCGCTCTCGCGCGTGGTGGTTTCTGGGTTGCCCACTGCCCACAATCGCACATCGCCGCGTTGGCCTAGAAACTGAAGTGAACCCTTAGCGGTGAACGGTTTGATTTCCGACTTAACATGCAGTTTGTGCAAGTCTGTCCTTTCGTGAACCACGCGCGCTCTCGCGCGCGGAGCATCCCGCGTTGCCGCAATGGGTCAGTGGTCATGTTGGCCTGGAAACTCAAGTTGGCCGTTTTGCGGTGACCGACTGGATTTCCAACTTAACATGCGGTTCTTATTTGACCACCTATTGGTGCTGCGTACAGTGCGCCGACGCGCGCGCGCGCGCTCGCGCGCGTGGTGATTTCTCTATTGTCCACAATCGATCAATCGCCATGTTGGCCTGGAAACTAAAGTGAACCCTTAGCGGTGACCGACTGGATTTCCAATTTAACATGCTGTTTTTACGTGACCGCCGACTGGTGCTGCATGCAAAGCGCCAGCGCGCGCGCACTCGCGCGTGGTGGTTTCTGTATTGCCCACAAGAAGAATCGTCATGTTTGGCTTGGGAACTGAAGTGGGCCCTTACCGGTGACCGATTGGAATTTCAACGTATCATGCATTTTCCATGTATGTACTTGGGAAAACGCGCGCGAGCGCGTTTTCGAGCGTGGCGGATTCTGGTTTGGCCTGGTCTGGTTTGGCCTGGTTGGTCTGGCGTGGCTGGCCGACGCGCTGCGCGAGTCAAACCAACGCAAACTCCAGCAGCGCAGGCTGCCCCAAAGACCCAGGCAGCCGCCCAAAACCACACTGTACCTCCAAGCGGCCCCCAACCTACCCCCCCCCCCCCTTTCCCGATGCCGCCGGCCCCCGCCAAGCGCCCAAGCAGACCCTTGAGACCCTGATTGGGCCCAGCGCTTCGCAACTTAACCTCGTTCGTTCAACGGGCAGGGGCTGTCGGCATAGACAACTAGATCGCTGTCCTGCGTCAGCGGCGCTTTCGGGCAAAAGCAGCTACATGCTTGGTTTCCGTCAGCGAGGCTGTCGGGTATAAGCAGCTAGATGCTTGTTGTCCGACAGCGGCGCGGTCGGGCATTTGAAAAGAACTCGTTGCGAGCGCGCTGCAGGGTTGGCATGAGCCCTTCTGTGCACATGAAGCGGGGGTCATCACGAAGCCCTGTTGGGAAAAAGCTGGGTCACGGGAACAATCGCCATCACAAGCGCGAGCAACGCCATCAGCGCCGTCACCAGCGCAACCAACAACGCAACCACAAACACAACCATAACCACAAACACAAACACCAACACACATACAACCAACCACCCCACGAAACATGTAACGAACACCCCGTTGGGACCACTTATCGGCTCGGGGTTTTAAGAATGGGCCAGCGCATACAAACCGCTCCAACGCCCATGTATGTGGATCAATCCTATGAACCAGACACCTCATGCACGAGCGCAGCTGCCAGCACAGCCACCAGCACAACCAACAACGCAACCATTAGCATGACCACCGCCGCTAGCACACACACGCAACCGGCAGCGCAAAACACCTCCACTACCCCAACAAGCCCCCAAGAAGACTCTAAGAGGCCTCCAAGATGCTCCCAATATGCCCCCCCCCCCCGAAATAGCTACTCCGCCCTAAAGAAGCCGACCCAACTTGACTGGTGCATGGTTCTGGATGGGCTGGGGGGACACGCGAAGCGGCAATAATGTTTGTGAATATCCTGTGTGCTCCGCAAAGCGACCCCTTGCGCCCTTGCGCGCGCGCGTGCGCGTGTGCGTGCGTGCGGGGGGGTGCATGGTAGGCGCAGAAGGACCCATTGATGGTAGCCATGCGGGAATGCATTGTCAGCTTAGGAGGACCCCTTGCCGCACCATGCCAGGTTTTGGAAGGCTGGTGCTCAGTTGGAGTCGGTTGGTTGCGGCCTGAAGCCGTCCCTTATCAATGTGACCAACGCAGACAACTGGATCAAGGAGGAAGCTAAGCGCCTCTTCGACTACGACCCAGAGGAATGTCCCAATGGCATGCCTTATCCAGCCGGCATGGGGTGTGCAGAGAAGTACGGTGGGATTTGCCCAGAAGAACCTGGGTTTGCCCGTGTGGTCACAGGTCCTAGGTCTCGTGGCGAAGGCCGCCCCGCCCTCGTTCAGTCAGTCCACCCTTTGCCCCGCGAGGTTTTTTTTTCAAGCAATATCATTCGGATGTCCTTGGGGGCGTGGTTCAAACCAAACTCGTTCGCGAAAACGGGGTGGGGCAACGAGTATTGGTTTCCGATTCAATGCCGCATGTAATAGTGTATGATAAGCAACGCCCACACATTGTTATAGTGTATGCCATGTGTGTATCGCGTGCTCATAGCAATACACGTTGCAGACCACCCAATCAGCCCCACAAGGCTCACAAGAGGGGGTTCAGGGGGGTCTTCGTCCACCACAGGTTCCAATAATCTGCGTGCTGCGCTGGTGCAAAACAGGATTGGCACCCAGGGATCTCTACCACTTCAGATTTGCTTGAGTGCGTTGGGTGTGCATGAGTGCGGGATGCTCACTTTCAAATTTGGGGCTGGTGGTGAATACTTCACGATCGTGAGGGTCAGCCAGTACGCCAGTGGCAACTGGGGGCCACAGACGGATGGGGGAGTTCAGTTAGTTTCGTTGCCGTTCAATGTATTTCTGAAACGCTTATCATGCGTGCCAGAGCCCAGGAAGATCACGGGGGCGATGAGATCGATGAATTAAGTTGTGCGATCTGCAGGCCGATCAGGGCGCCACGGGAACACAATAGACAGTTCGCCTATCGTTTAGAGCAGCTTCTTGATTTCAATCTGAGCCTGGTCGCCGTCAAAAAGAAGGCCAAGACAAAAGAGGACCCTGCCCCTGCCCCATGGTTGCCGTTCGGCATGGCACCCGTTGAAATGGAAGATGAGCCAGCTCCCGTCACGAAGGCTGGCGAACCTCCCGACCCGTTAGACGAGGCCGACCGATGCGAGTACCATGATGACTCTGGAGAAGAGTCCTTGTGTGATAACATTGATATGTCTAGTGAGAGTTGCGCTGACTCTGATCCTGGTGATGGCCCACACGAGGCCGACCCAGAGCCGTTTCCTGTGCCAGCTCCGCCATTGCCAGCTCCAGCTCCTGCGGGGCCTGACGGCGAAGGCCCAGGCCCTCCAGGCCCTCCAGGCCCTGAGTTCCCAAGAGGAGGCCTCACGTTGTACGGCATGGCCCCCGCTGGCCGTGCGAAGTGCGTCATATGTGACGGTGTGATTCCGAGAGGAGAGTGGCGGGTGGAGCACCGAATGCGAGATTCATCCAAACTCTCCGACGTGGGAAAGGTTCACATCGGGTGTATTCCTCGGCTGCCAGCCGAGTTGCGAGCGCATAATTTTTTAGTTGCCCAGGAGTGGGCTCGTCGACCTGACATCCCCCTTGCTGAGCAAGACATCTTGAATACGATTGTCGAGATGCTCCGTCTAGATGCAGGCGCTGCTGCATCCTCTGGAGATCCTGCCCCTGGACCGCCTGGAGCTTAGGCAACGAGTTTCCAGTGCGCCACTTGTCTCTGGCTTGCATGCTGCGTGCAATGATGATGCCGTAGGGTCGGGATGGGGGGAGAATTGGAGTAGCGAGTAGTAGAAAGGGGGGCTCGAGGAGGTGACGTCATACCGGTTGCGGGCTGCCCGCCATGGGTCCGCTCGCGGTGGAAACCTTGCGCCACCGAAGCCCTAGCCTAAGCTCGCTCACCCACCCAAGGAAACAGAAGTTGCACCGCCTAAGGGCCCGAACTGGGCCTGCCCAGGGCCGCCCAAACGTCTGAACAACAGTCTGTTCAGAACCCCATCTTCTTCTGAACGGCCCCCCTCTTCTGAACGCGCGTTTGTTCAGAACTCGCCGTTTCCTTGAAAAACACATGTGTTCAGAACAATTCTTCTGAACAGGAATTGTTCAGAGGTTTGTTCAGATGCAATCTTCTGAACAAAGCTCTGTTCAGAACTGTACTTTTGGGTTGTGCAAGGTCCCCGCGCCAGGGGGCGCGAGCTTAGGTGGCAGGGGCGCGAGCTGCAGATGCGAAAACGTCGCAGCCCGCAGAACGGACTGAACCTGGCTCGCGCCGCTGTTTGATTTTTGATGCTGCTCAGCGCTTGAGCTCGATTGAGCGTGAGTCAGTCGACGGACTGAGTCGCGGAGCACGTGGCCTCGCCACCTTCATGGCCAAGAGACGCGCGGCCGCCGCAGGCATTGCCATCGAATCCTTCTCACTTCTCTCGAGCGGTCAAGCGGGCCCTCCCCCTGGGCCCCTGAGGACTTGATAACGCCATTAGTGAGTTAGTTGTTTTACCAACTTCGTCTTTGTTCATCTCCGATGTCTGGGGCACTCAATACTCGGCAAGTAAAGCCGTCCCCCATATAACAAGCTTAGCATTGAAATGTTAATGGTGCAGGGCCCAGAGGAGAGGCCCACGTACGCTGCCAAGCAACAGTGCAACCGTGCAAACAAACAAACAAAACATTCACGCGTCAATCGATGGCATCAAAACGCAGGCCGCCAACACCATGTTCTAAATATTTGGGCCGTCTGGGCGTCCATAGGCATGCGCACCTAGTATTATGAACAGCACGATTGCACGATCATACCATATTATGTTCGTTCGCAGCCATTTTGGCCTGGAGAAGGCTGCGACTCGCTGTGTCTGCAGCTTTCCAGATTGGCGAGCCTACAGGCCAACGTATTCATTTCGGTATCTCGGATTCCAGTTTCCAGTTCGATGGGCAAGACAGTTGTGGTTCCCAAGTCGTGTGCGGGCGGCCTGCACGCCAAGAAGACGGCCACTCAGACTCAGACTCGGAAGAAGCCGAAAACTACCCAGGAAGAGATCGCAGAAGCTGATCCTGCAGAATGCTGTCTCTGTGGGCAGACCAGCCGTGACATCGATCGCGCGGGCGATGGCATCGCTTTGGTCAAGTGGGTTAAGTATGATCGGAGCTCCGTGACTGGCCAGATCAGGCTATCAGGCAGAGGGTGCCACCACTGCTGGGACACCAAACGACGATTTTTCGACTGCGCACTACAGGAGCTGGTGGACGAGAAGAAAAGTAACCCAACCTTCGACACTCGATTCGGCCTCCTTCGGCGCGATCGCGTCAGGAAAGAAGGGAAGTTCAAACACGAGGAGAAGAAGACACTCAAATGCTGGACCGAATCCTTCGAGGAGAGCTACGTGGACTCATTCGAGGAGGGCGGCTTCTACAAGCTCTCGACCTTCTGCAAGATCTACAAGGTGCCCTATGCTCGCTCCGATGTGGAAGATGAGGTCATCGAGAAGATTCGCCATAAGTACCCCGCTGCAGAGATCTCCAGGGACACCAGGTTTCGCGCCATGGGCGTGTGGGTGGTCAATGATCCGAACCCTCAGCTTGCAGATGACAGGTTTCGGCGCGAAGTCAAGAGCGGTGCAGCCAACAAGAGAGTGGAGGAGCATGCTGATGAAGACCTTGCTGATGAGGCCTACCAGCAGCAGAGGAAGGTCAGGCGACTGACTAGCAAGGCCCCTTCTGCGCTGTGAGCTCGGATCCATGACGTGGATGACAAGGATGTGGTCAACGTGGAGGACGTCGCCGAGTCCGACGCCGATGCGGCAGAGTCCGAGGCGCCGCAGCGGGCCACGCCGATGCAGTCTCCTTCTTCCGTTGGGCCAGGAGTGTTTGTGTTGCCGTTCGACGCCAAGTCTCGCGACTCTCGTGGCAGCGCCGTGGAGCTCAGCGTGGCCCGCGACGGCGACGACGACTACGCGGACGATACTGGCGGCTCTGTGGCTGGGGTGCGTGTAGGGCGCAGAAATCTCCCTCCAATGTAGCTCTCTTGTAAGTTTTGCATGGGCATTCGTGTTTGTTTTGTTACGCGTTGTTCTTCGTTTGGTGCCGGGTGCCCGAGTGAAACGCATGCGGTTTTAAGAAAAACACACCTAATGGGCGGCGCCGTTTTGGCGCTAGGGTTAACGCAATTGGTGGGGATTTCTGTGGCCTCGAAGGGCAAGGCCAACAAGAAGTGTAGTCCCAAAGACGCTGCCGTGGGCAGGGCCTTGCTCAGGCGGGCCAAGGCGATGGACGTCCATGATGCGGAGCAGCAGTGGAACAACCGCCCTAGGAATCGAACTCACGAGGCCGCCACCACTGCTCTCGTCAAGTCGGCTCGCGAGCTCGCCAAGTTCCCTAGTGATGAGGCCTGCCTGAAGCTGTCTGAGGAGGTCACCATCCTGGCGCGCGAGATGCAGGATCGTAAACGTATATTTGATGAGCTGAAGCAGGCCCCCGCTGAGTTTGTCAACCAGGTGTTCTCGGATGATGATCGGAAGACGGTGCTATCTTTGAAATGTCCCCTCCTCGTGCAGATTATCCAACAGACATCGTTCCAATTGGCGTCCATTGACCCCTCACTCATGTTGAAGCTCGCCGAGTGCCCAATCGACATCGTCCCCGACACAGATGCTCAGCCCCCTGGCTGGTTCCCGCTCTCACGCATGTGTTTGGGGATGGCCTTGCTATCCTCGGGGTGCACCGACAGCAATCCCACGGCCGAGACGGTCATCGCGCTGCTCACCCGCACGCAGAACAGCATCGTGGTGGACATGGTGGAGCGGATCTGCCTCGGCGCGAAGCATGAGGACAACTGCGTGGCCATGATCGAGGAGGTGCGGTCGGCCTTGCAGCACTTTGCGCCCTTCGTGTTCGACGATGCCGAAACGATTACGTACGAGCGCGGGGAGACGAAGTGCGAGGTGCCGATCAAGAACGGTTTGTTCAAGCAGGCTTACATCGACCTCTCGATGATGATCGTCGCGGGCGACGTCCTCAAGACCGTTCGTGCAGGGGGGGTCGTGTCAGGAGAGCTTCGCACCACTGCGAAGAAGATGATGGCTGCGATCAAGATGGCTTCGCCACGCCTTCGCAACCTCGCCACGGCTGCAGGCCTCAAGGGCTCATGCAACCCGAACGCCATCAAGCTCGCATGGGACAAGTTGGCTGAGATGTTTCCTAGCACGGACCCCGCTGCAATCGCGAACGAGATCGATCGCGCCAACTCGGCCTTCCAGGAGAAGGTCATGTCGTTGTGCAAGGGCCATGCCGAAGCCGAGCCTTCCGAGGGGGAGGCTGAGGCGGCTGAGGCTACGGATCCGCGGGTGGACGCCTTCAACATGATGGTCGGCCTCACTGAGCACACTGGCGTGGTCGACAGATTTGCTCCTTGTGTATATACGGTGACGCTTCCGACTTCGAGGAGGAGGTTTACCGCGGCTTTTAGGCGGCCGCCAAGGACCTGATCTTGTTTATTGTGGCCAACGTCGACGTCTACAAGTTTGTCCTTGGTTCGGTCGAGGCCGTGGTTTGCTTAACTTTGAGCTCGGTGATATTTCGATGATGGGGTCTCTTATGATATACGTCTGTACTGCATGGCAACAGACACGCATCCACATGTCACTGCAAGTTGCGTTGCCGTTAATCGTAATCGCGTGCGCCTGTTTGTGCAACTGGGTGTTCAAGGGCCTTTGCGCTCAAGTGCTGTCAGTGAACGTTTTCGAAGGGCTGTGCGGACTACAACCTGTCTTATGGCAGGGGTCATTGGTTCCACGATCGTGCGAGCTTGTTTTAGCTTGAAGGGTGCCCCTGAATCTCCAGAGTCTCCAGAGGGGGAGGCCTCCGCGGGCCCGTTGCTCTCTTTAGCAGTCGGGGCCTATGGTGGGGAATGGGGGTGGGGGAGGGGGGGGGCTCTCGGGGCCATCTTAAAGCGGGTTTGGAGCCATCTTGGAGCTGAGCAATATCCAAGCTAGCTGGGGCGCTCAGGAGGCACGTGTGGGCCGAAACCTCGGGTACAATTCAATGCAGGGGCCGATTTGAGGATATCGATCTATGAAATGGGGGGCCATGTCAGCGTCGCCCTCTAGATTCTAAATCCCCCTAGGTCGCCTCTTGGGGCCCTGTTGGTAAACCATGTGCGCTCGGGGGCGCTCTTGGGGCTTGGGGCCGTCTTGGATCTTGGGGCTGCCTTGGTCCTGTCGCGGGGCTCCCCCAAGACACCTTAGAACCGATTTTCAACGCCCGACAGAAGCGAAACGGCACAATCACGTGCTTGTTGCACTAAGTGTTGGAAGGGGGGTTACTTTGACCCTGCGGAGCGCCAGTGGGCTGACCCATGGGTATTCTAAGCTCGAGGGAACCTTGGGGTCTTGGGGTTCGGTGGCGGTGGTCGTTGCAGGTGGCCGCTGGCGCGTGCCATCGGCCAGCCGCGGCGGAGGTTTCAGTAGTTCCGTTCTGTCCAACCTAGGGAAGTAGCCATATCGGCTCGTTGGCTAAGGTGCCACCGTACATAGCGCTATCGGGGGATGGAATAGACAATGGATGGGCGTTGCTGCAGGTCCCCCCCCCAAAAAAACGCCAGCCGCGGTGAGGCCCACCATGCGCTTTTATGCGCCAGCCCACTGGTGCAGCGCACAACGTGCCGACTCGCGTGCTCTTGCGCGTTGCGGTTTCTGCATTGCCCGCACTAAGACAATCGCAATGTTGGCCTGGGAGCCGAACTGAACCCTTGGTGGCGACCGATTCGGTTTCCAACTTCTAAACGGGCATGCGTGCTGCACGTGTCCGTCTATTTGCACAGCGCGCCGATGCGCGCGCGCGGTCTCGCGCGCTCTGGCCCCAATCTTGTCCGCAATCGGACGGTCGCAATGTTGGCCTGAACACTAAAGTGCGACATCAGCGGTGGCCGATTGGAACTCAAACTGAACTCGCGGCGTTTACGCCTACGCGTCCGTATGTTGGCGCGGCACACAACGGGCCGACGCGCGCGCGGGCTCTCGGGAGTGGCGGTGCCTGTCAGCAATAGGGCAGTCGCCATGTTGGCCTGGAAACTGAAGTGGGCCCTCAGCGGTGACCGATTTGATTTCCAACACCTCATGTGTTTTCCACGTGTTCGTGCACTTGCATAATGGCAAGGGCGCCAGCGCGCGCGCGAGCGGTGCCCCCGCCTTGCCCGCAATAGAGGGCATGTGCCACGCTGACCTGGGGACTGAACACTGGGCTGAAACCTTGGCGCCGACCGACCGATCGGAATTCCAAAGTAACATGCATGTTGTTTCGCGTGTCCCCCAGTTGGTGCTGATTACACGGCGTGCGCGATTTTTCTAGTGTGGACAATGTAAAAATCGCGCGCGCACGATTTCTGTATTGTCCACAATAGAACATTCGCTATGCTGGCCTAGAAACTGAAGTGAACCCTTGGCGGTGACAGATGCGATTTTCAACCCGACATGCTTTTTTTACGTGACCACCCAATGGTGTTGCGAGCAACGCGCCGACGCTCGCGCGCGAGGGGTAGTTTCCTCATTGTCCACAGTCCACAATGGAGCAATCGCCATGTTGGCCTGGAAACTGAAGTGGCACCTTAGCGGTGACATATTGGATGTTTAAGTTAACATACGGTTTACCGTGACCACCTAATGGTGATGCGCAGGACGCGCCGCCGACGCGCGCGCGCTCTCGCGCGTGGTGGTTGATGTGATGCCCATTGCCGAACATATCACATCGTCGCTTTGGCCTGGGAACGGAAGCGAACCCTTGGTGGTGACAGATTTGATTTCTAACCCAGCATGAGTTTTTTACAGGTCTGTCTTTTTTTGTGAACAACGCGCGATCTCGCGCGCGGGTGATTTTGTGATGCCGCAGTGGGACAGTGGCCACATTGGCTTGGAAACTGGCGTGGACCTTCAGCAGTGACCGATTGGATTTCCAACTGGACATGCGGTTTTTACGTGACCGCCTATTGGTGCGGCGTGCAACGCGCCGCGCGTTCTCTCGCGCGCGCGGTGGCTTTGACAGCAATAAGGTTGCCCCCATGATGGCCTGAAGAAGCTCTTCTCGACCAGCTTTCCAACTTCACATGGGTTGTTTCACGTGTCGGCCTATTGGCGCAGCGCACAACGCGCCGACGCGCGCAAGCTCTCGCGCGCGGTGGCCCCAATAGTGCTCGCAATCGGACGGCCGCCATGCTGACATGGGAACTGCAGTGGACTCTTGTCGGTGGCTTCTTGCATTTTCAACCCAACTTGCGGTATTACGCGTCCGTCTGCGTGTCAAGCGTGCGGCGCGTCGATGCGCGCGTCGCGCGCGCGGGCGCTCTCGCGCGCGGTGGCGGCTGCGTTGCCAGCCGTAGGGCAGTCGCCACGTTGGCTTCGGAGTTGAAGTGCGCCCTTGGCGGTGGCCGATTGGGTTCCACTAGGACAGGCGTTTTTTTTCGCATGTCCGCCGATGGTGCTTCCTACAAAGCACCGGCGCGCGCGCTCGCGAGTGGTCTCTGCAACGGCAACAACAAGGCAGTCGCCATGCTGCCGTGGAAACTGAAGCCCCCCCTGGCGGTGGCCGATTCGATTTCACACTTAACATGCGGTGTTGCGCGCGCCGCGGGATCGGCGCAGCGCGAAACGCGTTGAGACGTGACGCGCGCGCGCGCCCGCCGGCGGCGGTACCTGCATTGCCCGCAATCGAACAGTCGCCACGTTTGCTTGGGGCCTGAAGTGAACCCACAGCGGTGGCAACTTCGAGCTCCAAGCGAACATGCGGTTTTTACGTGCCCGTCTATGGGGGGAGCGCGCAGCGCACCGACGCGCGCGCGCGCGTTCTCGCGCATGGGGTTCCTGCCTTGTCCGCAAGGTGGCAGTCGCCATGTCGGCCTGGCAACTGGGGGACCCTTAGCGGTGGCCGCATTGATTTCCAGGCTGGCACGGTGCATTCCCGTGCCCGTTGAAGGGTCTAGCGCGCGACGCGCCGACGAGCGCGCGCGCGCCCTCGCGAGCTGTGCATCCTGCGCTGTGTTGCCCGCAGTCGGGCTGTCGCCACGCTGTCGTTGGGACTAGATAAAGACTAACTGTTCGGGGTGGCCACTTGGGTTTGGGTTTCCCACTCCAGCCCACTGCTTGTAGTGCGCCCCCGTCTGTTCGTGCAGCGCGCAGCCCGCCGACGCGAGCGCGCGCCCTCTCGCGCGGTGGCGCCTGTATCGTCCGCAATGGAAAAGTCGCCGCTTTGGCCTGGGAGGTGATGTGGCCCCTTTGAGCGGTACACGAATTGAACTGGTTCACACCACAACAGACATTCCGTCTATTGGTGTTGCGAGCAACGCACTGGCGCGCGCGCTCGCGTTCTGGCGTGGTGGTGCGTATTGGCAGCATGTGAACCATCGCCGCGTTCGCCTGGAGACAGAAGCGAAGCCTTGGCAGTGACCGATTGGATTTCCAACTTAACATGCGTGGTTTACGCGTCCGTCTGCTGGTGCAGCGCGCAGCGCGCCGACGCCCGCGCGCGCGCGCTCTTGCGCGTGGTCGCCCCTGTATCCTCCGCAATGGGACAATCGCCACGTTGGTTTGGAAACTGAAGTGAGCCCTCAGCGGCGGTGCCCGATTCGATCTCCAACTTAACATGCGTTGTGTTACGCGGAGGTCGACTCGTGCAGCGTTCAGCGGCAACGTGCCGACGCGCGCGCGCGCTCTCGCGCGCTGTGGGTTCTGTATTGCCCGCAATCGGAAAGTCGCCACGTCGCCCTGGGAACTGAAGTGGGCCCTTAGCGGTGACCGATTGGAGTTCCAACTTGGCATGCGGTTCGACGTGCCCGTCTACTGGCGCAGCGTACATAGCATTGGCGCGCGCCTGCGCATGGTGGTTCCCGCATACCCGCAATAGGACACTTGTAATGGTGTTCCTTCAACCCGACATGGGCCCTCAGCGGTGGCGTATTTGCTCTCCAACTGAACACGCGGTTGTTTGTTTTACGCGTCCATCTATTTGTGCAGCCGACAAACGTGCGCGCGCTTTCGCACGCGGTGGTTCTGTGATGTCCGCAGTAAGACAGTCGCCATGCTGGCCTGGGCAATGAAATTAACGCCTAGCGGTGACCGGTTTGATTTCCAACGGAACATGCGTGGTTGACGTGTCCTGGCATTGGTGTAGCGTGCAATGCGCCAGCGCGCACGCGCGCTCTCGCAAGTGGTGGCGTCTGCGGTGTCCGCAACAGGGCAACCGCCATGCTGTCGCGTTGGCATGGAAACCGAATTGGTCCTTCAGCGGCGCGCGACTGGATTTCCAGCTTAACATGTCGTGTTTCACGCGTCCATGTCTTGGCGCAGCCCGCAAGAGGCCGACGCGCGCACGCTTGTTTCTACATGCGACTGCAAGGGGAAGT